GCAGTAATGCCCTTACTAGTTTTCGGGATATAAAGCCCCCACTGAGCCCAAAAGGGCAGCCTGTTCATTCTTGGTGCTACTGAGGAACCTCCTGCGTCCGAAACCCTAAACCCTAAACCCCAAACCCTAAACCCCCAATCTCCATCCCCTACACCCGAACCCTTTTCTTAAGTGACTGGGAAAAGGCAAGGCCAACAAGGGGTCAGTTCTTACCAACGGTTTAGGGTTTAGGGTTTAGGATACGAGGTAGCATGCTGTTTAGGGTTCTCCTACATGGGGATTAGGATTTAGGGTTTAGGGTTTAGGTCTAGGGTCCAGGGTCTAGGGTTCAAAACTGCCCAAAATCCCCATTCCAGCTGCACCAGTCCCCTATATCAGGGTTCAGAAACCCCAAACCCTAAACCCTAAACCCTAAACAGAGGAACTGGACTTCAGCGAGCTGCCGCATGAGAACCTCCGGGTGCGGGTCTGCTGGGACTGCCGCTCCTTTTGAACAACTCTTGGTGGGGGGGGGGGGGGGGGGGGGGGGGGGGGGGGGGGGGGGGGGTGGGGGGGCTGAAGGAGGGTTTAGGGTTTAGGGTTTAGGGTTTAGGGTTTAGGGTCTAGGGTTTAGGGTTTAGGTTTGGAGGGGTGTGGGGTGGTGTGGCAGGGTGTCGGGCAAGGGCTGGAACGCACCCTTGACGATCTGGTCATCCATGTCACAAAACAGCAATTGGCGCGACACAATGTGGATCCGATGCAAAAATCAACCACTTTCCCCAGGGCGGAGACTGGGGGAATGCAGCATGGGCTGATTTCAGAAGTATGGAAACCAGAGCCCAACTGGCGCCGAGAGGGACTCTCCACGTCCGCGCAATTGCGCTGTCTCGTCGCAACCGTTGAGGACGAGGACGGGGAGGGGCTCATGCAGCGAGCCCGGGATACATACAAACATATAAAAAAAATGTGCACATACACACATGTTTCGCTTGTGTACGTATATTTCTAGCTGCGTTCTTGTACCAAAGCTTGACTTCCTTAACTAGTTCAAGAGCGACCCCATCCTTCTTTTCGGACTGCGTGGTTGTTTCCCATTTCCTCAAGGATTTGTTGACTCAGGGATCTTACCGGCTTTAAACGCAGGATAGAGAGCTTTGCGGGATTTATAGACTGTACACGCCTCCATCCCTCAAACACTAGACCCTGGACCCTAGACCCTAGACCCTAAACCAACCTTACCATCCCAAGATCCTAAACCACAAGCCGTTATCCACCCCGCCCCCCCCCCCCCCCCCCCCCCCCCCAAATCGGAAAAAACATAGCAAGAGGCATGGGATCTCCTCAACCTCTGAGCCTGAAACCCCTACATCTCCGACCTTGAGGCCCTCAAACCCCAAGCCCCTCAATCCTGAACCCTGAACTCCAAAAAATGTCCCCCAAAAACCTGCAGAAGCATGAAATTCTGCACCGTGGGAAGCCTCAACCCTAGCCCGGAACCATCGAGGCGCAAAACCTAACCCTACCTGGCCGGAAACCCCTAGACCCCTATGCCCCAACCCCCACGCCCCAAGCCCTCCGCCAAGCCCTGAACCCCCAAACCCCCAAACCCCCAAACCCTAAGCCCTACACCCTACAACCCTAAACCCCTAATCCCAAACCCTAAGCCCTTCAACCTCAAACCCCCTAAACCCTAAATCCTAAACCCTATTCCCCAAACCCCTAAGCCCAAGTTACGTAAGGTTCCAAGCTGCCTTCGGAGTTGGAGGATAGCGCGGCTTCTGTGCCTAGGGCTGGCAGAGGTTACTGCACGTTTTTCGGGTTCTAGGGTTCCATAGGGTTTTGGGTTTTGGGTTTAGGGTTTAGGGTTAGGGTTTAGGGTTTAGGGTTTAGGGTTGTAGGGTTGTAGGGTTGTAGGGTTGTAGGGTTGTAGGGTTGTAGGGTTTAGGGTTGAGCGCTGACGGCTTCATGGCATAGGGTTTGAGTTTGAGTTGCTTTGTTTCTTGGGGGATGCTTCGGGGAGTAGGGTTTAGGGCGTGGGGCTTATGTTTCTAGTGGCCCCTGACATATACTTGAGAGAACCGAAGGAACTAGGCAACTGAATCCCTGGGCAGCCTGGGCGTGTCAATGTTTCAGAAGCCCTGCATCCCTGGAAATTCAAAAGCAACTTTGGATTTCTTGGTTTTGGTCGATCTTCACTACACAGCCGCTATTGCCACTAGGGTTCCAGCCTAATTCGAGGTTGCGACCTCTTTGTAGGTTAGCAGCTAGGGCAACTCAGGGTTTAGGGTTTAGGGTTTAGGGTTTCTCTAGGCCCTAAACTCCTAAACTGGTTTTGTGCTCTGAGGTCAACCATGCCCTCCATCACAGACGTGCCGTAAGCCCGAAATCCGAAGCTCATCCGCTGATGCTGAAAGTCGACATACTGATTCACACCACTTATAAATCCTGACTCGCTGAAATCTCACGGGCTCGGTTGAGATCTCGACTATTATGTATTCGAGAGAGCTAATTGGGATCCTAAAAAGGGCCGGCCGATGATTGGACTTTGGCGCCTTGCGCCTATGTCCGAGACCTCAGGCCCTAAACCCTCTACCCCAATTGCCTCCCCAAACCCTAAACCCCAAAAACCCTATGACCCGCAACACCCTAGCTAAAGCCCCAAAGCCCTAAGACCCTAAAATCCCACAAACCTTAAAACCCTAAAGCCCTTAAACCCTAAAACCCAAAAACCCGCAAGCCCAAAAGCACCAAAACTCTACAACCCTAAGACCCGAAGACCCTACAACCCCACAACCCTAAAACCTAACAGCCCCAAGTCCCTACAACCCTATGACCCTACAACCCTAAGACCCTCTAACCCTGAAACCCTCAAACCCCAATACCCTACAACCCTAAAACCCTAATCCCTTACATTCTCGAGGCCTTCTGGCATTTGGGCCAAGGGGAAGTGGACCGTTTTGGAGGCTGCGATGTTTTGAGTGAAGTAGAGGTTGACGAGCTAGGTTCTAGGGTGCAGGGTTTTAGGGTTTAGAGTCTTAGCGTTTTGGGCTCGGTTTGCGATGCCAGTAACTAGAACCGCCATCTGTTTGAACCATTTTGGGGTAGGCTTCCATGCTGAGAAAGGAACATGCAGGCCCATGTACGGTGAAAAGAAAGTAAGATCTACTCCCTAAACCTTAAACTCTCTTGCAGGTCCTAAGCCCTAAACCCCGAAACCCGAAACCCCAAACCCCAAACCCTAAACCGTAAACCGTAAACCCTTTAGGATTCGTCAGGCTTCTTGGGCTCAGAGAGTTTGGGGCTTTAGGGTCTTCATGCTTGAGGACTTCTTTTGGGGTTTGTTCGGGTGCTTTGGGAACTGCAGGTCTATCGGGGTTTAGGGTTTAGGATTTAGGATTTAGGGTTTAGATTCTAGGGTTTAGGGTTTAGGGTTTAGGATATAGGGTTCAGTGTTTAGGCTTTAGGCTTAGGGTTTAGGGTTTTAGGATACAAGTCCTCAGAATTCAGCATGCTTCGTAAACTTTTCCCTGGCAGGTCCGGACGTGGACGGCTTCGTAGCCTGCGGGCTGCAATGGAATGGCTTAGGGGTAGTAGATACATTTAGCTAGGCAGGGCCTTCGGCCGTAACTTTTGGTTTTAGTGTTCTGGGTTTAGGGTTTAGGGTTTGGGGTTTGGGGTTTAGGGCTTAGGGTTTAGGGTATTATTTCCTACAAGGATATGGGCCAACCCAGCAAGGGATGCTTGTTGTTGAGGGCTTTGGGGCTTGGGGCTCCGGGCTTAGGCTTCAGGATATGTGTGTAATCTTTGAAGCAGTAGGATTTAGGGTTTAGGGTTTATAATTGAGAAGGTGAGCTCTGCGCTTTGCGGCTTCTGTTAGTGAAGGCTTCAAGGATTCGGCCCGCCACAGAGCTTCGGATTGAAAGGTCGATGGGATTAGCTACACCTGGAGGCCAGTACCTCCAAAAGCCCTAAACCTCAAACCCTAAACCCTAAACCCTACACCTCGAAATGACTGAACCCTGAACTCCAGGCAGCCAAAGCAGCCCCTGCAAATGCAAACTTCTTCTCAAAGCCTGACTCCCTCGAAACCTGACCTCAAGATCCGAGGGCCCAGGTTGCCCCCGTTTGCAAACACTGCTTGGACTGTTGTCTTGTTAGAACTGCAGAGTTGTGCTCGAACCAAAACAGCCCTGAGGCCCAAACCTCCCCCTCCCCCCTGCCTCCTCCCACAGACTAACTTCTGATGGCGGCAGGTTTCCTTCTGGCACGGAAAGCAGTCCCCAAGCAGCAGCAGGGCTCTGGTTCATCACCTGAACACCTCAGCCCTGGCGAACCCAATTGTGGTCAACAGCTGCATCATCTCTCAACGCCTCAGCCTCTTAGGAATTACTGGAGAACCCAATTTGGGTCAGCAGTTGCGTCCTGACAAGAGTTTCTCAAGCCCTCGGCTCTTAAAGCGCTGGGTTTTTTTGAGCCCGAAACCCGACACATCCCCTTCTTACTCTCGAAGCCCTGCACCCTGCGGCCCTAAGCCCTACACCCTAAACCTCACAGCCCAAGTCACCAAGTCGTCAGGTTACTCGCGTTTTACCTTGGTGTTGTGGTGTAGGGTTAGGGGTTTAGGGGTGTCACAATCCTCATGCAATCGCAAAGATGTAGGGTTTTGTGATCTTCAGCTGCCATAGGAGCTCTACAGCTCACAATCCGAAATCCCAGACCCAAAAAACCCTGGAACCCGCCTAGAAACTCCTGGAAACCCTGAAGCCCTAGAAACCCTAGAAACCCTCTGAAGGCTAGAAGCCCGAAAAAACCCTGGAAACCCTATAAGCCCTCAACACCCTAAACACCCCACAAAAGTCTCAAGAAAAAGCCCTACAAACCCCCAGAAACCCTATAAACCCCATAAGCTCCAGGAGCCCTTAGGCCCAAAACCCTAGTGAACTCCCAAGCCCGATTTCCCCCAAACCCTAAACCCTAAACCCTAAACCCTAAACCCAAGGACCTTGGCCCTGGCTGGGCCCATGACCTTCGCCCTGTCTCCCAGTCTGCAGGCACCGGCGTTTGGGGGAGTCAAGGGGTTTAGGGTTTAGGGTTTAGGGTTTAGGGCTTAGGCTTCTCGAGCGTTTTCCAGGACTTCTGGAGGGCTCTTAGAGGGTTTCGAGGGCGGCTACAGGGGCCTTGCCTGGGAAGCTGCTTTTCTTTTTTTTTTTGGGGGGGGGGGGGGGGGGGGGGGGGGGCGGCGCTGAGGGGGGAGGGGGGGCGGGGTTCTACAGGACGACCGAAGCCTGGGCAGGTGCACAGGCGGCCGGAGGAAGATGCCGGAGCAGAGTCTGCAGCAGAAGTCCTGGAGGCTCTTTGTTGCTGTGTTTTTTTTTGGAGCGGGGGATGTCAGAGTTTAGGGTGTAGGGCTTGGAGGTTTAGGGTTTAGGGTAAGTTTAGGGTTTAGGGTTTATAAATAGGGTTTAGGGTTCAGGGTTTCGGGCTCAGGGTTCAGGGTTTAGAGTTCAGGGTTTAGGGGGACAGGGAGGCTGTGGTTGGTGGTTTTTGTTGGGGGGAAGGCAAGGGTTTTGTGTTGTTTACATTGTTTACACGTCCTGCTTCTGTTAGCATCGGCATTTCGCCGGAGTGTCTGCGCCGGTCAGCCAATATGTTACATATTGTTACATGCTACTAAGCCCAAAAACCTCAGCCCGTAGACCCTAGCGCCGCGGTGTTAGGGTTGGGGTCTTGGGGGGCGGGGGGGGGGGCAATCAAAGTCACGAACCCTTTCCGGGTCCAGTTTTCAGTCACATACTGATGACTACATACCTCTACCCCGACCCACCTTGAGCTTAAAAAAAGACAGAGAACCACACCCCCCACTCTGCTTCCCCGCCCGTCCCCCCGCCCTTCTTCCCACCACCAAGCTCTGAACCCTAAAGCCTAGTCCTTGAAGCCTGAATCAGCCTTAATGAACCTTAATGAACCTTAGTAAGCCTTAATAGCCCTTAGTGAACCTTAATCATCCATAGTTGAGGGCTTAGGGTTTAGGGTTTAGGGTTCAGGGTTCAGGGTTTAGGGTTTAGAGTTCTGAGCAGGAGTCCCTGACCTTGCCGTTCCGGTACGGGGCGCCCAGCCTTTTTCCCGAGGTCGCCCGGCATTAAGTTCTCAGACTCGTGAGTCGTTTTAGGTATGGGATCCTGGACCCCTCAACCCTAAGCCCTCAGCTGTAGACCCTGAGCCCTTTGCCTTTTGGGTCTGTAAACAAGAAGCCGTTCATCAGGGCTAAGTTGGCTCCCTCCTAAACAGTGAAATGCTAGAACCCCAAACCCTAATCTCAGCCCAACGGACCCTAAACCCTAAACCCTAATCCCGAAACCCTAGAAGCCCTAAACCCTAAACCCCAGGCCATCCCGAACTCTAAGACCGAAAACGCCCCAAACCCCAACGCCAATGGCCCAACCCCCAAAATGCAAGCTCCTAGACCCTAAGTAAACCCTGTATCCCCTTTGAGCTCCATGAACCTGAAAACCCTGCAAACCTTATAAACTCGAACATAAACCCCATAAACCCGATAAACCGTAACAAACCCCAACAAACCCTATCAACCTCTGTAAACCCGAACCCTCTAAACCCCATTAACGGGTTTAAGCCCTTCAATCCCTGTCAACCCTGCAAACCCTATAATAAAAGCTCATAAAGGGCATCAAAAAGCGCGTATCCTATAAAGACCCTATAAACCGAGGCGCTGGTCGGACCATGGGTCCGTGGTTATGCGGTCATCAATGTGCGCGAGGCGTTCTCCACGGTTTTGGAGTTTAGGGTCTGGGGTTTCGGGTTTCGCGGATTGATTTTTTAAGGGACCCCTAATATCCCAAATAGTAGGATTCCCCCCCAAGAAACCCCCAGATTGACCTTGTGGTCTGAAAGCCTCGTACTCAGCAGTGCAAGTGGACCTCGTCACCGGCTTCGGTTGCAGCTGCGAGGTCAAGATCGCACAAGATCGCACCCCGAAACCCTTAAACCCTTGAACCCTTAAGCCCTTAACACCCCCCCCCCAATAAGGAAAAAAAACAAACACCTATGAACCCCAACCCCTAAACCCTATAAACCCTATAAACCATATAAACCCTGTAAGCCCTATAAACCCTATAAACCCTATAAACCCTACACACCCTATAAACCCTATAAGCCCTAAACCCGTACCTGACTGGGTTTCAAGATCGGTCAGGTCTTCTTGGCAGGTTTGGGATGGGACATATCCAGGATTTTCAGATGGGGGTTTACGAAAATAGGGGACCAAACAGTCGGGTTTCGGGTTTAGGGTTTAGGGTTTAGGGTTTAGGGTGCTTGGTAGCCCAGTGGTGCCCTTCTCCCTCTTTGTTTGGTCCAAGGCCCCCTCGTAAGGTAGCCAACCCCCCAAAAAAGGGTACCCTGATTCTAATATGGTTACTGGGAGACCCAGGGTGCCTAAACCCTAAACCCTAAACCCTAAACCCTAAACCCTAAACCCTAAACCCTAAACCCCCATCTGGCAGGGCTTCATCTGTGAAGAGCTGGATGACATCTTCTCTCTCCAGGCTGCTCTGACTAGAAGGTTTTTGGAGTTTAGGGTTTAGGGCTTAGGTTTTAGGGTTTAGGGTGAACAAGGTTTAGGGTTTTTCGGGTTGGATCTGATTGGCGCCGCGTACTCTTCCCCTGTTTGGGACCAGTTTTGCCGAAAAAAAGACCCAGGATAAACAGAAGGCTCTCCTCTAAGATTCTCGAACACCAGAATTCACAATCCTTACAGAATAATGACGTGGAAACTACGTGAAATGGGAATTCCATAGGTCCCAACAGTAGACGGGGCGTCCTGTCCAAACGTGCTCTTGTAATCCGCTGCCTGCAACTGGGAGGTCGCCGCGTGTAGGCCGAACGTTGAGAGTGAGCAGGGTTTAGGGTTTAGGGTTTAGGGGTTAGGGGTTTAGGGGTTTAGGGGTTTAGGGGTTTAGGGTTTAGGGTTCAGAGTTTAGGCCTACACCCTGGAGCGTAGGTTTAGCCCTTACTGCCATCTGCACGCACCCAAAGCCCAAAGAACCCTAAAGCCTCACAGGGTTTAGCAAGGAAATCCTAAGGTCTATGCGGGGCTAGGCGGGCTTCATATAACATACTGAGGCCTCGATGATAGGGATTTCGGGTTTAGGGTGTAGGGTTTAGGGTTCAGGGTTTTCAGTGCCACACAATGCAGGTAAAGCTCAGAGCCCCAGCATTCCTTGAATCAGAGTTCGCAATCTGCGCCCCTATTTTTATTCAAAGAAAAGCGCTTCCTGACTTAACGGGGCCTTGGGCGGGCGGGCTTCTTGGGAGTGGGATACTCCACAGAACCCCCAAACACCCTCAACCCTGAACCCCAACCCCTAAACCCTCCCAGTAGCCCTAAACCCTAAACCCTAAACCCTCCCAGTAGCCCTAAACCCTAAACCCCTAAACCGTCCCATGAAGCCCTCAACCCTAAACCCCAAACCCGAAGGTCTTTCCGGAGATCATCTACCCGCCCTGGGGCGAGTGGGTGCTCAACGTTTCCCGGAGCACCCCGCAGATCCTTGAGTGGGTCCCGAGCCCTGGCTGCGTCCCTAAGGGTTTAGGGTTTAAGGGTTGAGGGTTTAGGGTTTAAGAGTTTAGGGTTTTTTGGGTTTGAGCCCCAAACCCATACCACTAAGTTCCTTAATTAAACCCTAAACCTAAACCCTAAGCCCTAAACCCTAAACCCTAACCCCCAAACCCCAAACCCTAAACCCTAAACCCTGAACCCTGAACCCTGAACCCTGAACCCTGAACCCTAAACCCTAAACCCAAACCCTAAACCCTAGACCCTACAGGAAGATGGACGTCGACGGCATCTGCTCCCGCCGGGTCATCCGCTGGATCCGGCCCTGGCTCCTGGAGGGGCGCCTGCTGGTCGACTCGGCCGGGCACGCCCCCCGGCGCCCAAGCCAGGGAGTTTAGGGTTCAGGGTTTAGGGTTTAGGGTTTGGGGTTTAGGGTTTAGGGTTTAGGGTTTGGGGTTTAGGGTTTAGGGTTTAGGGCCAGGACCCGGGTGCGGGGTATGATTTCCTGAAAGCCGTTAGAAGTCCTAAACCCTAAATATCCTAAATATCCTAAACCTGAAAAATCCTAAGCCCTAACACCTAAATCCTCAACCCAAAAACCTAAACCTTGAAGCCTAAAACCTAAATCCTACCCTGAAGCCTAAATCCCTGTAAGCAAATGAGCGTACCCTGTTTTAAAGCCGCGGCGCCTGGCTAATCCCCTCCTGGCTGAAGGTTTCTCTTACTTGCTTTGGGGTTTACGTCTTGGGTTTTTTGGGCAGGCTGTTGCCAGAGCTTGGTGCCCTGGTTCCTTGAAACCTGGTTCCTTGAACCCTAAACCCTAAGCCCTAAGCCCCAAGCCCCAAGCCCCAAGCCCCAAGCCCCAAGCCCCAAGCCCCAAGCCCCAAGCCCCAAGCCCCAAGCCCTAAGCCCTAAGCCCTAAGCCCTAAGCCCTAAGCCCTAAGCCCTAAGCCCTAAGCCCAGGCTGCAGTCAACGGCTCTTACGTCCCAGACTTTTCCGGCAGCGCTGTGAGGCCGGATTCTTTACTCGCAGTTTGGGACCCTCAATTCCCATGCACTCTAAACCGACCCCCCCACACTTGACCGCAAACACGTGAACCCTAAAACCCGAAAACCGCTAAAACCCTAAAACCCTAAAACCCTAAACGCTAAATACCTAAAACCCTAGGCCAACCCTAAAAAAGAACCCAACCTCGGGGCCTTGGCCTTGGGAGTCCCTAAACCCTCTAAACCCTAAAGCCCCTAAACCCGAAAAAAGTAAAACCCTAAACCCTCAACCCTCAACCCTAAACCCTCAACCCTAAACCCTAAACCCTCAAAAACCTAAACCCTGAGCCAACCCAAAAAAAGACCCAGCCTGAGGGTTGGGAGGACCCCACCCGCCGGCGCAGCAGGTACGTGAAGACGCCGGCCGAGGGGCCCAAGGCTGTGGAGCTGCGCCACATCGACCCGTAGCCAGGTCTTGGCTAAAAGGGGCGTTCAGGGTTGCATGGGTGTAGGGGTTTAGGGTTTGGGGTTTAGGGTTTAGGGTTTAGGGCTTGTATAGGGTCTCGGGCTGAGGATTGTTTAGGGTTTAGGGTTTTGGGGCTTATTTGGGGTCCAGGGCCTTCTAGGTGGAGGCGTTTTTGAAAGAGAGTTTGGTTTGTACCTGCCCTTCTTGTTTGGGGGCTTAGGGTTTGAAGGGGAGAGCTCTTGAGTCTTAGGGGGGAAAGGGGGGGGGGTTCTTGAGAGGTTGCGTTTGGGGCAGACCCATTGTTTTTAGCATTGCTTTACTCGGAAATAAATCAGGTTCGGAAGTTTCTAAACTTAGCCTCTTGGGCTGAAGTTTGTGCCCCATTCTTCGATATTTTAAACATTGAGCACTGCAAGAGACGTCGAATGCCCGCTCCAAGCAACATTCCCTCGTTCTCTCCTGCTGCCCCGGCTACGCCTGCGATGAACTCCTGCCGGCAAGGGTTTAGGGTTTAGGGTTTAGGGTTTAGGGTTTAGGGTTTAGGGTTTAGGGTTTAGGGTTTAGGGTTTAGGGTTTAGGGTTTAGGGTTTAGGGTTTATAGTTTATAGGGTTTAGGGTTTAGGGTTTATAGGGTTTAGGGTTGTTTGAAGATATCACAAAGTTAAGCAACAGGGGGAGTGAACTTGGTTCATGATTAATTGGACAGTTTAAAATGACACCCGGAGGGAGGGCTTGGCACAGGGATCATGAGGGTTTCGGGATGGGGTTGGGTTTAAGGTTTGGGGGTTAGGAGCCCGCCGCGATCATAAAACCTACTTTTCCTTGATCTGTTTGCCTAAAGTTAAAGAATCCCAGCTGCACCCCCCCACCCATCTCCCCTGAAGGCGTACAGCACTCGTTCTTAGAAGGGGGAGTTTGAGAATTCTGGGCGCCTTGGATCACCCTACATAGAACCGGGTACAAGGGAGTATGTTTCAGTAGAGGATCTTAAAACTCTTAAGGACGAACCCTCAGCCCTGAACCCTCAACCTCGAGTATCCTAGACCCTCGTTCCTACGACCTCAAGCCATAAACAATCAGTCCGAACTGCTTACCAGGACGGGCTATTCGGCCCTATAATCCCCATAGTCAACCCTATAGAGGGGCCTTGTTAAGGGGGTTATAGGGTATAATAGCCCGTCCTGGTAGGTAGAGCCTTGGAGAGTGAAAGCACATCAAAGGCACTGGGCCTTCGTCTCTGTGGAGGATGGCAAAGAGTGAGGGCCCAAGGTCCTCATGGGCTCGGGCGAGTCTGGATCAGGGCTTGGGGTCTAGGGAATGTTTCACATTCGTAGGATACTCTTGGGTCAGCTGAAGGCAGCTCCTGTACACCGCTGTCGCTGATGCACTGGTGGGCCAGTGGAATACGGACAGCCAGCTGGCAAAAGCCTCCGGCGCCTCAGCCGCAAACCCGCTCAAAGGAGGGCTTGGGGGCTTCTAGGGTTTTCGTGCTTCCATCCCTACTCCCTACTGCCACCTTTTTTTTCATACCAAAGCCGAATCCCAAGCCTAAGCCCTTGAGCCCAAGCCACACTGCCACGCCTGCACAGAGAGACTTGCAGTTTTCCTAGGAATCTTCCGGCTTGGTACAGGACGTGTGATATGGGGGTTCCGAAACTAGGGGTACCCTTTTGGGGGGTCCCTTTAAGCGGTTCCTGTTCTATTTGGGGTATAAAAGGGGTACCCCCTATTTTGGGAAATGCCCATATGTGTTAGGGCTTTGGGGGTCGAGGGTTTAGGTTTAGGGGTACTCTTCTTGGTGAGCGTGGAATATGTGGTTCCTTTTTTTGTTCTGGGGATGTTGGAGACAAGAACCTGCTTCACATGCTGTCAACTGCGCATTGTGGGCATCTTCACAGGGACTGCAAGTTCTTCTGACAAAGCAAGTTCCCTGGCTCAAGCCCTGTAAGTCGGGGACTGAGGGTAGGGTTTCGGGTTTAGGGCTTAGGGCTTAGGGCTTAGGGCTTAGGGCTTAGGGCTTAGGGCTTAGGGCTTAGGGCTTAGGGCTTAGGGCGTAGGGCGTAGGGCTTAGGGCTTAGGGCTTAGGGCTTAGGGCTTAGACCTTAGGGTTTAGGGTTTAGGGTTTAGGGTTTAGGGTTTAGGGTTTAGGGTTTAGGGTTTAGGGTTGCAATCTTAACCCGAAACCCTGCCCCTTCGCCGCTCAGGTGCCCTGCCAGGGCCCAGAATCAGCTTTTGGCAGCAGGCGCCCGACGAGGACCTGCTGGTGACCTTGCTGCTCTTAGGGGTTTAGGGTTTAGGGTTTAGGGTTTATGGTTTAGGGTTTCTTCGGAGCTTCATGTTTGGAGGGAATGAGGGAGTTAGGGGCCCTATATATCCCTTAAAGGGTATATAGGGCCAACAATTCCGTCATTCCCTACTAAGATGCAGCCAGTAGCTCACGGACAACCTCAACCCTAGAAAGGAACTTTCAGGGTTTGGGGCTTTAGAGTCTTTAGGGTGTGCCCCGTACTACGTACTACAATCTCTAGTCAAGGTCTTTTGGCACCCTTACCCTCCCTGCTTCTGATAGAAGTTTGGTTGGGGGGGGTCAGCCTGGGTCCGTTGAGTCGCCTAAGCACCTCCTCTCACTTTCGGCGGGCAGTAGTAAATCCTAGCCCTCGACACTAAACTCATTGGGGTGTGGGGCTTAGAGGCATTTCGGGTTTCTAGGTTTGAGGCGGGACGTTTAGGTTTATAGGGGTTTGGAGGTTAAGTGGTCAGGGGTGTAATATCAAGGGTTACGGGCGGTAGCATTTTTTGCAGCTCCCGTCTTTGCCAGGAAACGATGCCCTCGCAGGGAGGTTACCCTAAACCCTAAACCCTAAACCCTTTTGGATGTAGGGGAGACTTCTTTGGGCGGCTTGCAGACCAGAAGCCTAAATCCTATGGAGCTGCTTCCATGGTTTAAGGATGATGAGAGTTGGGAGTGCCTTTGGTCTACCTCTTGGGGTATGGGGACAAGGACGTTCCAACTTTTTGGAGTCTACCCTGGTTGCTTTCAGGTCAACCCTAAACCCCAACGCCCTGAAGTAGCCGGAAGTCCGCCCGGAAACCCCACAGCCCAAACACCTGATTCCAGACACCCTAAGTCCTGTACTGAGGTTTGGAGTACTATGCTGTAGTGCTTTTTTTGGTTTGGGTTCCGATTATAGCTACTTATACCCAAAAAGTATATGTTTTTTCCAGGGTCTACTCCAAAGTAGGGTATAAGCCCGAAACCCGCCGATGCAAGCCTCAGGGGGGCCTGTGTTTTTTGACACGCTTAGGGGGCAGGTTCTTGCGTACTCCCTTGTTGGGTTTAAGAGTGTTTGAATCAGAACGGGCCTACCAGAAACCCTAAACCCTGAATCCTAAACCCTAAACCTTAAACCTTAAACCCAGAAAATCCTAAACCCGACCATCGAAAGCAGCCAAGGCTGCCCAGAAGAGCCTTGCTCTGAACGTGCGGCCCCGCTGCGTTTGCCGACTTCCCTCTGAGGCAAGGTCCAGGTTTTAGCGTTTAGGGTTTGGGGTTCAGGGTGTATAGGATTAGTCTTGAAAGGAAAAATGACAATGGACTAATTATGAGATTTAAAGTAAGTGATAATTTTGCAAACCTATCATCTGCAACAGATACTAATGTGCATTTTATGTATCTGATTAATTTTCCCTGGTACAATATTTTGAAATGCGCATTGATAAACATAAAGGAAGTGTAAGAAATCGAAAATTCTGTGTAAAAAGGGTATCAATGGAAAATCGCAGTAAATGAAAACATTTTCTGATGTATGTGGTATAGGTGCGGCAAATACAAAAATGACTAAGATACATAAGCTAGACATTAATACAGCAAGTGAATCTACAACAAGTTAATCAACAGTCCATACAAATAGCAGATGTATTGAAAGTAAGAGTATTCTCAATACTTATCGAATCCATTAAATATTGGTTGCATTGTTAAAGTTCAATAAAAGGCTAATATTACGAAACGTGGTGAAGGTAAAATGTTTTACAATCATGCTAGAATGTGTGGAAATGGAAATTTCGCAAGATCACTGGGGTTGAACATATGATCGAAGATAGTTCTCATATGTTAACTGATATAGAACTGACAATATTCTAGACCATGTAGATATTATTTGTGATGTTTTTAATATTCTAAACCATAAAGGTATTGTTCTGTGATGTTTCTGTAAAGTAAAGCATGACGACCCTGCTGGTGCGAGCCTTCCTCGCCGAGGGTCAGGAGCTCACGCCCACTTTGGAGCGTGGGCCGCCAGGTCCGGTGGCATCCACGCTGACATCAACCCGGTTTCGGGTTTAGGGTTTAGGGTGTAGGGTTTAGGGTTTAGGGTTTAGCAGGTGGGAGCAAGACGTGCGGCGATTTCCAAGGTCAATTCCAAGGCCAAGACGGAGTTGTGAGCCCGTGTGGAGTTTAAAACCGATGACGACATTAAGTCACTTATTTAAGGCGCGAAGATGGAATCAAGATGTTTCCAATGAAGAACAAATGGCATAGAGGGACTTAAGGTTATTTGATACAATTTCAAAAACCATTTTGCCACAAAAAGCATTTTTCAAAAATTACTGAATTCGCGTGATTTGGAAACACAAGCCTGTATATATGTATATATACATACATACATTTCTGTCGGTCGTGAGTTTGTAGCACTGTTTTCAAGTATGTTAAATGGTAAGTATTCATAAATATTGTTAATGCATTCTCTAACTCATTTTTCTATCTCTGTGTGCTCGCTTATAGAACAAACAGTTCCCTTATATACTTAGATCACTTGCAAGAGCCTTTGAAAGGCCTTGAAGCCGGCAAGGCCTAAATCCCTAAACCCAAAACCCCTAATGCAGGCCGTAAGCCCTGCACCATAACTCCCCCAGACCCTACTAACACCCCTCAACCCAAAAAAAACCCACCCCCTCATGCCCTTGGTACCAGAACCCTTCAATCCTGATGGTCCCTAATGTTACTAAAGCCCGAAAATACACCCCGGAGGCCGCTGCTAGCATGGTCGTCTCCGAGGGCGTCGCCGCTCACTTCGCAGGCCCCTTGTGTGTTTGGGGAGTCTGCGGGGCTGGGCGGTTTAACGGCTTAGGGTATGAGGGCGTCAGCCGGTAGTTAGAGGTTTAAGAGCTGGGGGTTTCCCCAACCCTGCTCCCTAAACCCAAAACCCTGAACCCCAAATCCTAAAACTCAAACATTAGGGCGGGGGCTTCGGGGAGGTTTGGGAAGTTTAGCGGTCTTGGGCTTTGGGGTTTTATGGGTGTGTCGGGCACTCTGGGGCCTGCGAAGGGGGTTTAGGGTGGTTTAGGGTTTAGGGTTTAGGGTTTATGCACTTTGAGCCCTCTAGAACCTTTGAAGGTTCGGGGGGTGTTGGGCGGCTGGTTTTGAGCCGGGTGAAGGTTTGAAGGTGCCTTCTGACTTCAAATTATCCATTATAGGCCCCAGGAATCCTACAAGCCCCTTGAAGGGAGGCCAAGGGTTCGAGCCCTTGCGCTTTAGGGGCTTTTGCGGTTTTGGGATCTTGGGGTGTTAGGGTGTTAGGGTTTTAGGGTTTCGGGTTTAAGGTTTATAGGGCTTAAGGTTTAAGGATCCGTTGATGGTCTAAGGGTTTTAGGTGACGCCGTGGTCTTCGTCGACTTTGAGACCGACGGCACCCCCGAAGAGGCCCGGCCCTTGGGGGCTTAGTAGGGTTTGTTTTTGTTGGGCTGGGGGGGGGGGGGGGGGGGGGTGAGGGTTTGGGGTTTAGGGTTTAGGGTTTAGGATGGGTTTAGGGTTTAGGGTTTAGGGTTTAGGGTTTAGGGTTTAGGGTTTAGGGTTTAGGTTTTGGGGTTTGGGGTTTGGGGTGTAGGGCTTAGGCCCCCTCAATTAGGGCCCCTTCTGAGGTTCCTATGATTCCGGGGGAGTCTGAGACTTTTGGTACCTCGTAATTTCGAGTTTCTCCCTACAGGGTTTTGGTAAGGGTGTTTGGGGGAAATCAAGGTGTAGGATTTTGGGAATTCGGGGTACACAGGGTTTAGGGGCTTAGGGTTTTTCAGAGGTACCAAGAGTATCAGGCTCCCTCAGAATCATCGGAACCGCCCAGAATCACAGGAACCGCAGAAGGTGAGTCGACTGAGGGAGCCTAAACCTTAAATCTTAAACCCTAAACCCTAAACCCTAAACCCTACACCCTCCGCCTAGACCCTCAACCCGAAGCCCTAAGCACCAGGCGTTTCCCGCCCTCGGCGCCCCGCTGCCGGCCACGTGGCGGCTGCATCTTCCAGCGCGAGCGGGTGCGGGTGGCGGGCTGAACCAACCCGGCCCCTTGGCCCGGAGGTAGGTTTAGGGTTTAGGGTTTAGGGTTTAGGGTTTAGGGTTTAGGGTTTAGGGTTTAGGGTTTAGGGTTTAGGGTTTAGGGTTTAGGGTTTAGGGTTTAGGGTTTAGGGTTTAGGGTTGAGGGTTTAGGGTTTAGGGTTTAGGGTTTAGGGTTTAGGGTTTAGGGTTTAGGGTTTAGGGTTTAGGGTTTAGGGTGGGATTATCGGGTTTAGTGAATGGAGGGTATTTGCTAAGGGCATTAAGGGCATTCAGGCGGCATTAAGGGAATTGATCAAGGGAATTGAGGGAAGCAAGGGTATTAAGGGTATCAAGTGTATTGAGGGCATGAGGGGTATTAAGGGTCTCAGAGGCTTAGGGTTGCGATGGGGTATTCGCGGGTGTTGGAGTAGGGTTTCGCGGCTTTCGGGTCTTAAGGTTGCAGTAGGGGCGCCCTCCTGCTTATGCTCTTACCTAGCCTGAGCCCCCCCTACCCCCCCCCCCCCCGAAAGCGCTGAAGGTTTAACACCCTTAGGGTTCTGGGAAGGCTTAGGGTCTAGGGCACCTTACGGATTTAAGGCATCAGTCCCAAAACCCTGGCAAAAGCACTCGGATACTCGCTGAAGCGAACAACGACGTAAAACCTCTTAACTTCACAAACCCCAACCCTAAACCCATTCGCATTTACACCCAGTGTTCCTCCTCCTCACCCCCTACCCCTCTAAGCCCGAAACTCGAAACCCTTGCGTCACTGGGGACACCTTGGGATGTTTCCCCTTATACTGACAGTCCTCAAAAATGGAAAATTTGTACCCCCTATTCTAATCCCTATTAAGGACTGTAGGACTGTTAGTATAAGGGGAACATGCAAAGACTAAACCCTAAACCCTAAACGTTAAACCCCCAAAACCCCTAAACCCTTAAACCCTTAACCCCTAAACCCTAAACCCTAAACCCTAAACCGCAAACCCTACGCCCTAAGCCCTAAGCCCTCAGCCCTAAACCCTAAACCCTAAGCCCTAAGCCCTAAGCCCTAAACCCTAAACCCTAAACCCTAAACCCTAAACCCTAAACCCTAAACCCTAAACCCTAAACCCTAAACCCTAAACCCAAGCCTCTTGAAGCCCTTTCCTCCGCTCTCTGAGGCGAAGAGGGCGGCTGCGACTTGCCAGGGGCCCTGCGCCAGGGACTCGAGGCTCCTTTGGCCCCTATTCTGCTTTTGATAACTTGTCTTTATATATATATATATATATTTTTTTTTATTTATTTATTTATATACATCTTTGTATGTATATATATATATATATGTATAAAGATACATCTATCTATCCATCTATCCATCCATCCATCTATATATACACGTATGTCTGTATAACTTGCTTTGTTTTTGTTTAGCTCGTTTTTTGTTGCTTTAGTTTTGTTGGGTAAATGGTCCCTTTTTTTTGTGGGGGGGGGGAGGGGTTCATCTGGTCTCCAAGATCTTTGCCGGGTTTTAAGGTCTCCGTTTCCGACGTCTCCGCTTCCCGAGGCCCTCCTTGTCAAAGGCGCGGGCACCGTGGCCATCAGTGCCAAAGGTGGCAGCCCCGCAGACAAAGAGGCCAGTCTTTCGGATCCTAGGGTTTAGGGTTTAGGGTTTAGGGTTTAGGGTTTAGGGTTTAGGGTTTAGGGTTTAGTATTCCCCCACCACACCCCACCCCTGGCTACCCAGAGGTTTTGGGATCCCACATCTAGCTCACATCCCGAGCCCAAGAATTGAGACCCGATTCTTCCTCAAGCTCCCGTTTTGTCCTTTTTCGGGCCCTGGGCTATCAGGCTGTGTAGGGCTTCGGGAAGCATCGGATTTCTCCGTTTCATTGGGGTTCAGTGGTGTGAACTCCATGCTAAGCATCTCCGAACCTCTTTGTACTGATGAGTTTGTAGGGTTTAGGGTTTTAGGGTTTAGGGTTTAGGGAAACCCCTCTAGGACTCACAGGGGGTGACCTACGAGAATCTAGGCAGCTTGATCGGCCCTAGAGGCCGCACACTTAGATGGAAATCGAGTCACCAATACTTGGGGTTTTCGCGTTTAGGGCCCAGGGTTCTAAACCTTCGAATCCTGAACCCTAAACCCCCAAACACTCAACCCTAAACCCTAAACCCTAAACCCTAAACCCTAAACCCTAAACCCTAAACCCTAAACCCTAAACCCTAACCCTAAACCCTAAGCCCTAAGCCCTAAGCCCTTGCTAAACCCCAAACCCTAAACCCCGGCGCAGGCCCTGGCGGCCGCGGCCGTCACCGCGCTCTTGGACGTGGCTGGCGAAGGCCGTGAACGGCGCACGGGCAGGAAGGTCAGTGGCTCCAATGCGGCGAACTCCGAATCTTGGATTCCGGGAGCCGAAGAGTTAGGGTCTAATTAGGGTTTCAGGGTCTAATCTTTATGGTCTAATGAGGGTTTGAAGGTCTATAGGGTTTAGGGTCTATATATAGGGTTTTTGGGTCAAGGGGGTCGAGGGTCTATAGCGTTTCGGGTCTATAGCGTTCAGGGTCTATAGGGTTTGGGGTCTATAGGGCTTTAGGGTCAGGCTTTAGGCCCTTGCGGGTTTAGGGTGTAGGGTTTAGGGTTTGGATTTGGGGGGGGGAAGGCGTTCCATAGTCATTTTCGTGGGCTCGAGCTGGCGCTTGATAACCCTGGAGAAGCCCTGATCCCTCAGCCCAACATTCCAACGCAGTCCAAACCGCCCAAGCCCCATGCTGTCAGCCCTCGCCCTTTTCTTCACCCTCAACGCTATGATGGTTTTCAAGCCCAAGAACTGCAAACCTTATCTCAGTGACGCACCCCCGTATGCACCGCAAGCCCTATATTTCCTTAGAACCCTAAGCCCTAAATCCTAACTCCCAACCTCTAAACCCTAAACCCTAGCCCTCCACCCGAAACCCTAAACCCTAAAGCCTACCTTCCCACTCACCCCCCGCCCCACCCCCCACACAGTCCTCCGACGAATCGCCAAGGCGGGCAGGCCACTTGAGCTGCACCTCGTGGCGCCTTGGGCCCACATTGCCAGGGTTTTTGCAGGTTTTGTGTTCGGGTTTGGGGCCCTTGGGGTGTTAGGTGTTGCGGGTTTGGGGCGTTAGGTGTGTTAGGTGTTTCGGGTTTGGGGTTTAGGGCGGCTTAGGGCGTTAGGTTGTATGTTGGGTTCTTGTTTGGGGCTTTTTCGGGGGGTTAGGGCTTAGGGTTTCGGGGCTGAGGATTGTGGAAGGAAGTGGACTGGGAGTTGTTTTGGGGACACGGGCGACAGGCTGAACAGAAAGTCGGGTATCTCCAAGTCGGGCGCATGAACCTTAAACCAGATCCTTGAAGCATAGGGTTTAGGTTTTTAGGGTTTAGGGCTGAGGGTGCTCTTTGAGTCCTGGAAAGACTATGCACCAAAAAGTGGATGCTGACCACCTGCGTCTTTGGTGGTTGCGCCTTCTGCCTACACATCTGAACCATGCGCCTCAACCTCCAAACCCTAAGCCCTAAACCCCATGGCCCCATGGCCCTAAATCCCAGACTCTAACCGAAGTGGCCTATCAAATCGGACCCCGGACGCCCGACAGTTAGGGCTTCAGGGTTGTTGAGCCTTGGTTATTCGTGCTTTCGAACCCTAAAACCCTAAACCCTAAACCCTAAACCCTAAACCCAAAACCGAGTGGAGGGCTTTCAGAAGGTCGAGGGTCCACCGCCCGACATCCTCCGCAGCCGCGACGCCGTGGAAAGAGCCATCGCCAAGCGCAGTGACCTGGCATCTCCGTAGTTTTGCTGTCAAGAGCCTTTTTTTTAAGTCTAGGGTTTGGGGTTTAGGGTTTAGGGTTTAAGGGTTAGGATTTAGGGTTTAGGGTTTAGGGTTTAGTAATTAGCGGAAGCCCTGAATGCGGTTTATAGGCCTTATGTAGATTAAGTAGGGCTCTTCGCGGATTCATTTTTTTTTGTTGGGCTTACAGGGTGTTAGAGGGTTCGCGACTTCGGGTTCAGGCTTTCCAGAGTACGAGCTCTACGAACTTAGGGCCTGTGCTTCACTTGCTGGCCAAAACGAGTTAGGATTGTTTAACATGGATGCCTACTGCTTAAGACCCTTCTCAGAACCAGGAAGTTTCGGTTTATGAAGGTTTATGATTCAGAATCAGCTTGGCATTGGTTTCATAGCCGAGCGTACCACCTGCTGCGAGGCTGATGGGGTGCTTTCCCATTGATGCTTTAGCTAAGGGGGTTAGAGGTTAGGGTTTAGGGTTTAGGGTTTAGGGTTTAGGGTTTAGGGTTTAGGGGGGTGGAGTTGGTAGCGCCTTGAGAGCGTGGGAGCATCGACTTTCGCATGCGGAGTGTTGCTCCGGCAGCTAATCTGAGTTTCGCGGCCTTAATTACGGGAGTAAGAAAATAGTGAGTTTCAATGAGCCCTAGACCCTACACCCTAAACCATAAACCCTCTTACCGAGGATGCCCAGCTGGGTTCCCTTGTCAACACCACTAAGGTCCCAGACATGGGCACCCCTCTGATTATCAGGTTAGTGGGCAACCTAGCTAGAGGATTTAGGGTTTAGGGTTTAGGGTTACTTGATTTTGGTGGCCCTGCAGCCGAGCACCAAGTACGGCGCGAAGGGCGTCAGGGTTTGTTGTTTCACTTTTTTGTGTCCATCTGAAGGCCTGTATATCGGCTCAAGGCCAGGCTGAAAACCCCCAAACCCCCTAAACCCAAAACGTCACCAAACCCCTGAACCCAAAAGCCTCGAACACCTAACCCCTAAACCCCCAACACCCTCAAAGACCTAATCCTCAACCCTGAGCCAGAGGTGACGCTGGCTTCCTCAGCGCCATGAGGCCACCCAATATCTTTGATGATGCGGCATCACACCCCAATCGTGAATAAACTTCTTTCACCTGGTGTTCCTATCTAAGACCCAGAGTGGGCCATGTTAGGGTTCATGCAGACACCTACCTCTGTGCACAAAGGGGTTACCCTAATGGATTCCTGGATTCCTCTCCTCGGAACCTCGGCACGAAGCTACGGTCTGATGCTCACATGCGCATGGTGAGTCCACATTAGGCAGGGTTCCTGGGAGGGAAGAGCCCTGGGAAGTTTCCGGTCTTTCCGGGGATTTCGGCTTTCCGGGGATTTGGGATTTGGCCGAAAATTTGCCGGCCTCCAACCCCGAGAGCCCCCCAAAATAGAAATCTGCTAGCTTAAGAACCCTAAGCCCAACCCCTAAACCCAGCTTTTTGTAGGTTCTCCCCAAACCCCCCCCCCCCTCCCAAACCCTGTGGACGAAAAGGCCACTGCAACTTAGATTCACCTGAAACCTATAAGCCTCAAAAATTGGAAATCAGCCACGGGCCCTCATAGCATTGTGGATCTTCCTTTTTGGGGTTCCTATATATAAAAATATAAATAAATAAATATGAATATGAATATAAACAAAAATAAATATAAATATAAATATAAATATAAATATAAATATATATTACAGCACCCTTTTTGCAAGGACCCAAACATGGACCCTTAGTTTCGAGAACCACCCAATGTGACGTCGCTCTAAAGACCCAAAGCTGAAACTCAAGGGTTTCGTAGACCCCCTACTCCCTCAGGCCAGGCCCCGAAACCCAAAAACAACCGAAACCTTAACCCCTAACCCCTAACCCCTAACCCCGAACCCCTAAACCCTAAACCCTAAACCCTAAACCCTAAACCCTGAACCCTAAACCCTAAACCCTAAACCCTAACCCCCCCCCCCCCCCCCCAAAAAAAAAAAAAAACGGAGAGCACCCCCGAATGCAGGACTGCCGGAGAGGCCGAAGGCCCTGCGTGGCTTACGGAGGCCTGGGGGGGGTTTAGGGTTTAGGGTTTAGGGTTTAGGGTTTAGGGTTTAGGGTTTAGGGTTACTGGCCATGCCTCGGAGGTTTCAGGGCATTTGGGATTTAGGGCATGTAGGGTTTAGGGTATGTAGGGTATTTAGGGTATGTAGGGTATTTAGAGTTTGTAGAGTTTAGAGAATTTTGGGTTGAGGGTTCGGGGCAGGGTTTAGGGCGTTTAGGGTTTAGGGTGCTTGGGGTTTAGGGCATTTAGGGCTTAGGGTTCAGCAGCTCCAGTCCGGGTCGTCTCTGGTTGAGCTGGTGGTGTCGACACAGATAAACACCACACCTGCCTCAAGAATCCCATAACATGAACAACAACAACATAAATCTACTATATTCACTTTATGTTTGTCCAAACCCCTCCCCCCATGCTATCAGCGTAGCGAAATGGCGCCCATCCCTCCCCCTGTTATCACGGAGGCCGCGCCCCATCCTCCCCCCCCCCCTCCGGGGGCGTGCCTGTGTCCAATACTTTTGTGCCGGTGCCCACGAGTTTTTGCCATGGTGCCAGCGCATCCACTTCCCATTGCAGCCACAACCCTCAAACCTAAAGCTTATACCCTAAGCCCTAAACCGTTGCGCAAACCTCACCCCCCAAGCTCGAAGTTGGTTGACTTCAAGCTGCCTTGTCGCAGTGGTTTCGGGGCAGGGGCGCAAGTCGCTGAAGCTTTGGCTTCTTAGGGGGACTGCGATCATTCTAGATTGTTGGCCAAGAACTCCTTCCGTGTGCACAACACCTCAATTATTTGGCGTTTTGACCAATGCAATGTACTGTCCCAATTTGGCCGCTGTAAGTTAGGCCAAGCAATTCAGAAACCCTAACGCACAAAAACCAAGCGAAAACCGCGTTACAGGCATCTTGTGTCCAGGCTTTTCCTGATTTGTGTTGCGGTCTTGTATGTCAGCATTTCATTTCAGATTTTGGGCCTTCTACATCCCCCTTGGGAATTATTTTGTATTTTTGTTCACATAAACCCCAAGAGGACATTAAAAACAACATGTTTATGAAGGTTCTAAGGGAGTTTAGGCTTAGGATCCTGCGTGTGAAGTAAACCTGGCCTTCTATGGGGCCTTACGCAACTCCTGAATTCCCAGGTTGGCAGCCAGGCCACGTAGTTCACGAGCGTTGCGCCTGTGAACCTAAACCCCAAACCCCAAACCCGAAACCCTAGCCCTAAACCCCAAACCCTAAACCCTGAACCCTGAAACCCTATAACGGCCGCAGGCCTTGCTTTCACGGCTGAAGGGGAAGAAGAGCGGCGGGGCCTCAGCTGGTTGGAGGCTGGGGAGGGGACATGGAATTTGAAACCCTGAACCCTAAACCCCAATCCCCGGCACTCTAATACCCTACTCCCTAAACTCGAAAAAACTCCTAAACTCCTAAACTCCTAAACTCCTGAACTCCTAAACCCCTAAACCCCTAAACCCCTAAACCCCTCAACCCCTCAACCCCTAAACCCCTAAACCCCTAAACCCTTTTCCCTCCCAGCCCTCCAGGAAGCAGCTCGCGGATGACCCGGCCTTGCGCGGCATCTTGTCCCTCGACCGCCCAAGTCGTCTATCCTTGGGGGTTCTCTCGGGGTTTAGGGTTTCGGGTTTAGGGTTTAAGGTTCAGGTTCAGACTGATTATGGCATTGGGTTAGTGGTCGGATGTGTTTCTTGGATTTTCCAGGTTTTGGTTGCGACGTAGACTTGTAGGGCTTCATGGCTTAAGCTTCGAGGTGTTTCATGAGTTAGGATAAGAATTCAGGGTTGTAGGGTTTAAGGTTTAGGGTTTAAGGGTTTGAGGGTTTGAGGGTTTGAGGGTTTGAGGGTTTGAGGGTTTGAGGGTTTAAGGGTTTAAGGGTTTAAGGGTTTGAGGGTTTGAGGGTTTGAGGGTTTGAGGGTTTGAGGGTTTGAGGGTTTGAGGGTTTGAGGGTTTGAGGGTTTGAGGGTTTGAGGGTTTAGGGGTGCGCTTGCCCATGAGATCCTCTTGCGAAGCCTCCGGAACCCTGAGCCCCAAACCGACCTTAACACCCCTGAGATCAGCAAAGCCTGAAAAACCTTAGCCCTAAACCCTAAACCCTAAACCCTAAGCCCTAAGCCCTAAACCCTAAACCCTAAACCCTCACACCGGCCCGAGCACCCCAGCTCCCCAACGCCCTACCTACGCCCCAAGGGCATCGCAGTTCCTGCAGTTGGCGGACGTCGTCCGGCAGGTGTTGGAGGAGGAGGAGCCACCCCCGCCTTTTTAAAACGGGATGTTTTGAGGCTTTGGGGGGGGGGGGTGGGGGGGGGGGGGGGGGGAGGATGTGGGGTTTAGGGGTTCAGGGTTGGGTTCAGGGTTCAGGGTTCAGGGTTCAGGGTTCAGGGTTCAGGGTTCAGGGTTCAGGGTTCAGGGTTGAGAGTTGAGAGTTGAGAGTTGAGGGTTAGGGCTGGGGTTTTTTTGGATTAGGAGAGGTGTGTTTTCTTGAGGGCAGATTTTGGCTGGAGCCCGACTCGTGTTGGGTTGCGGAGCGGGGGGGGGGGGGGGGGGCTGCAGTCCGAGCGTACCCAAACCAGAACGTTTGTGGACAACGTACATGTGTCTGTTGTTTGCGTGATAGTTCACCCTACACCCTAAACCCTAAACCCGAAAACCCGAAAAAAGGCCTCTTCGACGCGTGACGCAGCCAGAAAAATATTTACCCTAACCCCAAACCCGAAACCCCAAACCCTAAACCCTGAACCCTGCAGCTCCAGGTTCTTTGGGGCTGAGGGCTCCCTAAACCCCTAAACCCTAAACCCCTAAAACCCTAAAACCCTAAACCCTAAACCCTAAACCCCTAAACCCTAAACCCCAAACCCCAAACCCTAAACCCTAAACCCTAAACCCTAAACCCAAAACCTCAGGAGCTTCTGGACACCGGCCATTTTGCCACCCACCCGGGCCAACCCCTCCGTTGGCCGGACGTCAACATGTGCCTTTTCCAATCATGGGCACTTGGGTTCAGGGTATGTAATTGGGGTTTGGGGTTTAGGGTTAGGGTTTAGGGTTTAGGGTTTAGGGTTTGGGGTTTCGGGTTTCGGGTTTGGGGTTTGGGGTTTAGGGTTTAGGGTTTAGGGTTCCTTGTTGACGACTCCGATGGAAGTAACCATATCCCAAACCCTAAACCCTTGAACTCCACCTTCACAGCAACTCCATTGTCATGGTTTTGTTTTGTGGTGAAGTGGGGTGTTGGTGCTTCGCGTCAGCGGTACCAAGGGCGGCTTCTTCCATGCGTCTTGTGAAGTCTCCCCCCAGGTTCAGGGTTTTGCGTTCTAGGTTTCAAATTTTATCTGGTTGTCAGACACGTTTATTCTTGCGCCCGTGACCCTGCACTCATGGGCCCATCTGCGCGAATACTCTTCTGAGCGGACTGCCTGCGCGATTCCTCCCATATCAACCCTGAGGCCCTCGCCCTCAACCCAACACCCTGGATCCTAAACCTCAGACCTACTAGCCAAACTCTCTTGAACCTAATCCCTCAACTCCCCAAATCCCTGAACTAAGAGCACAGTACCCTTATCCCTCTTTTTCTTGGGGGATTAGGTTCCCTTGTAAAGTTGTAGGTTGCTAGGCACCTAACCTTAAACCCTAATTCCAGTTACGATAAGACGACAGGTACCACATCTGCCAGCATTTCATCCTTCCGCTGACTCGTCGTGACAGACACTCGGCCAGCGAAGGTTTAGGGTTTAGGGTAAAGGTTTGTCGATGTTGACAGTGACGAGGGTTTATGGTCTATAGGCTTTAGGGTTAGGGCACTTGGTAGCCCAGTGGTGGGTCTTGAGGTATATTCGATGTTTCCCTCAATTGGGTCTAGTAGGAGCAGACTTAGGAATTGCTTTTTGGTGTTTTAAAGGGACATCCTAGAGATGAAGAAGGCTGTAAATTGAAAGGTTTGGGGTTTTAGAGGGTCAGGAGTTGGGAGGTTCGCCCTTATAGTAACAGTCCTTAGTAGGGATTATCATGGGGGGGGGTAGTAGAAACCCTAGATATCCCTAGTAAGGACGGTGAGTATAAGGCGGGAACATCCCAAGTCAGGAGGGTTAAGATTTGGGGTTGAGGGTTCAGGTTTTACAGGCTTAAACCCCAAACCCTAAACCCTAAACCCCAAACCCTAAACCCCAAACCCTAAACCCTAAACCTGCCAGGTGGTGGCCCGTCTTTCCCTCTGTTGTCTAAGCCGGGATACAATACAAACCCCTAGATCGCATTCCCTGTCAAATCCTGCGTGGAAGCCTACACCCGAAGCCCAAAGAGCTGGGGCTTAGGGTTTAGGGTTTAGGGTTTAGGGTTTAGGGTTTAGGGTTTAGGGTTTAGGGTTTAGGGTTTAGGGTTTAGGGTTTAGGGTCTAGGGTTTAGGGTTTAGGGTTTAGGGTTTAGGGTTTAGGGTTTAGGGTTTAGGGTTTAGGGTTTAGGGTTTAATTAGGGTTTAGGGTTCAGGGTTCAGGGTTCAGGGTTCAGGGTTCAGGGTTCAGGGTTCAGGGTTTAGGGTTTAGGGTTTAGGGATTGGGGTTTAGGGATTAGGGTTTAGGGTTTAGGGTTTAAAGTGGAAAATGGAGTGAGCGGAGTCCACGCGGCCTCAACCCTACAAACCAGCCAAAACCCGTAAAGCCCCGCAGCCCCTATGAAAACCCATTAAACCCCTAAAAGACCTGCAAACCCTGTAAAAAACCTATAGGCCCTACAATTTCTCGAAACCCTAGAAACCCTATTCTGGGCTTTTCAGGCTTGGGGTTGGGGGGTGTACCTTGGTGCCGGAGTCCCCTAAACCCTAAACCCCAAACCCTAAATCCTAAACCCTTGGCCTCGAGCTGGGCTCAGAAATCCCAATGGGTTTGGGGCTTCGAAGCTTGGGGGTTTCGGGGTTGGGTTTGGGGTTTGGATTTAGGGTGTAGGGTGTAGGGTATAGGGTAGGCTTGAGGGTTTCGGGAGCGTTTAGAATGTTAGGGTTTAGGGGCATAAACTCTTTGAGGGTTGATGGGTTGAAACGTTAAGGGCGTAGGGAGTCTAGGGTTTAGCGTGCTTAGAAAGCCCAAACAACTATAGGACGCTGTAGCGCGCAGAGCACCTGCTGTGCATGTCATCAGCGGGAATGAAGAAGAGAGAAGCGAAGGAGACGAGCATCGCCCTGAAGCTTCGGGCGAACGCCGCACAAGCCACGGTTTAGGGTCTAGGGTTTAGGGTTTAGGGTTTAGGGTTTAGGGTTTAGGGTTTAGGGTTTAGGGTTTAGGGTTTAGGGTTTAGGGTTTAGGGTTTAGGGTTTAGGAACCCATCCCTTAAGATGCTCTGTCCGTGGGCGATGGAGATGAGCAGAGCAACACAAGGATGCACGTGGTGTCCCAGGCATGGCGGAGTGTTGACGCACATCTCTGTGTGGTGCTGCGTGGCACCTCTGCAACCACAACCATGCCAAACATTGTGCAGGTACCCTATATCCCCCTGTATATATATATATATGTACCCTGTAATTAAGGGATTCTATAGGGTACCTAATTCCCCCCATTCCCTACTAACCAACAGCAAGAACCATGCCAAACATTGTGCAGACAACCTGCCGAGGCTCCAAAGGCAATTGCAGCCTCTGTCTGGACCTGTCGGGCTCCGAACCCAAAACCCCCTCTGACCCTTAGCCCTAAACTGTACTCTAGGCCCAAGGGCTGAGGGTTTATGGAGCTTGGGGCTTGTATGCGTCCAAGGGCCCGAAGTTGATAGGGTTTGTAGGGTTTAGGGTTGAGGGTTTGGGGTTTAGGGTTTGGGGTTTAGGGTTTGGGGTTTAGGGTTTAGGGCATAGGGTTTAGGGTTGGGTTTAGGGTTTAGGGGGGCTTTCATCGGTAGGCTTGGGGGCCCGCCGAGGCTGCTCCTACGTGGAGCTCGCGGCATCTGACCTTCAGCCTCCCGAGCCTAGCCGTATTTTAGGGCCTTAGGGCATTTTAGGGTTTAGACTTTTGGGCATTTTGAGGCCGTTAGGGCTTTTAGGGTTTTTAGAGGTTTTAGGGCCTTAGGGCTTTTGGGCATTTTAGGGTTCAGGGTGCTTTAGGTTTTTGGGTTGTTTTCGGGTTTTTAGGGTTTGTAGGGTGTAGGGTCTTGAGTATAGGGTATGGCAAGTAGGGAATGAGGGAATGAGGTACCCTATATCCCCCTGTATATATATATACATAATTAATATGTATATTATACCCTTTAAGGGATGGTATAGGGTACCTCATTCCCCCATTCCCGATTAACCAACAGTAAGTTCAGGGCTGAGGGCTTGGGGTTAGGATGCGCTTTGGCAGGCTAACTTTTGCAGACACATCGGCCGCGGCCTGTTTAGGGTTGAGGGTTGAGGGTTTTGGGTTTAGGGTTGGAGAGGGGGTGATCAGATGGAATAAGGGTCATTGCATTTTGGAGGTTCATCCAGGGTACCCGCCCCCCTATTTTGGGGAATGGCCATCTTGGGGGGTGGTTGGGGGGACCAAATGGACCCTTAAACTCCGATCAAAAACCCTATACTACAATCGACGCACGGTTGATTGATCGCTTCTCCTCAAGATTGAATGAAGCAAAAACACAAGAGCCACACCACGAGCAACAAACCAAACCACCAAGACTGGCGACGGACTGTTACACAAAACACTAAGTGGGAGCGCGCAATTCTTTCAAGCCTTAGAACTCGACCAAGCTTGAAGAAAGTCCAATCTCGCATCTCAGAAGGCAACTACAAGGCAAATCAAAACAGCAAAGAACACCAGAATCCCTTGAAATTCCCCTAGAACAGAAGCCTGAACCCTAAATACCTAAACTTTAAGGTATGGTGGAGGTCATAAAGCCCTAAGCCCGGCGGCGCGCCCTTCCGGACCATGGTCGCTACTCAACACCCTTAAACCTTAAACCTTAAACCCTAAACCCTAAACCCTGAACCCTGAACCCTCAACCCTAAGCCCTAAACCCTAAGCCCTAAACCCTAAACCCTAGCCCTAAACCCTAAACCCTCTACCCACTTTCGGACCAGGAGTGGATGGTGTCTCACGCTTGGAGCACGCACTTCGCTTCCACCACCGCCATGCTCTCCCAGAGTCTCGGCGGTTTAGGGTTTAGGGTTTAGGGTTTAGGGTTTAGGGTTTCGGGTTTAGGGATTGCTGTTTAGGGTTTAGGGCGTTTGGGGTTTAGGAAGGTGAACATTAGTTGGGGAGCCCTAACTAGGCTAGCAGCCGAGGGAAGTTAGGTTGTAGGATGAATTCAGGGGAAGGTATTTGGTGACTTGCCTGGTGCATGGGCGAATAAAGACGTGCATGTCCTTGGAGCAGATTCCTATATGAGCCAAACATCTACGAGGACCCGGAGTAGGCCCTCATTTCCTTTTGTTAGGGTTGGGGCTCCCTTTGAAACCCTCAAAACCAAAACGGGTACGTACCCCATTTATCCCTGGGTTACTCCTAACCCTAAATTTATGGCACATAACAAGTCTTTTAGTCGGCCGCCTCAAACATGCCATGAGCAGCAACACCACCCAACACTGAAGAGAAGTGCCTGGAAGTCATGATGCTACCATGCATACACGGCGTTCCCTGCACAAAGCCATGAGAATGCAATTAAGCTTTTTTGGGGGGAGGGGTTCAGAGCTGCTGTGGCCCTCAAGCCTCTCAACACTCAAAGATGCCACTCCGGGCTGCCGCTGCGTTCGTATGAGCGGCTTTTTTCGGGCGATGAGCCAGTAGGAACGTTAGTTGGAAATTACGGAAATATGGCCCGGAAACTGCAACGGCAAATGCATACGTCCAAGGATTTTGACCTTGTCCGTAGTACCTTCGGCCTCGGAAAAGGCTTGGGAATTTGAGCCGAGAGAGCTTTCTCTCAGAACGAGCAGTCCTTTCTCCCTCCAAGGCCCCTGCGTCTTCTGACTGCCATGGCCGGTCTGACAGCGGAGGAGCTGCGCGCCGAGCTTGAGGCGACCGAGAGGCGGGCGGAGGCGGAGGAGGTCAGGATTCAAGAGGCTGCCGCCAAGCTGGTCGAGGCCGAGGAGCGGCAGCGGCTGCGGCGGCTGTTGGAGCAAGCGAGAGCCGACTTGGCTTTCAAGCAAAAGACTCATCAACATCTGGATGCTCGTCGGAGAAGCGTGGACGAGGACCGGGCTGGGCCCAATCTTCTTCATGGCACGCAACAGTCGCCCAAGCCCCCGGTCCTCCTCTCTTCTAGCGATGCAGAGTGCACCAGTTTCGGGCACACGGTCGCTCGGGGCGAGCACGTGTGGAAACTTCAGCAGCTCTCGTGGCTCCCTACCGTGCTTCGCCAGGAGGAGCTCTGCACAGCGCAGTCGGAGCCATTCTGCGTGGGCGGCTTTCTTTTTCAGTTTGTCTACAACCCTCACGGAGGCTATCTTGACTCCCGTGTCGGCTGGGACGATCGATGGGCACAGGGTTCCGTCGCCATAGTGACCTCTGCTAATGACGGGTTTGCACTTCGGTACCGCATTTTCGTCAAGGCACGTGACAGAGCCTTTGTACAGTGGGGCGAGACGCGCGATGAAATCTATGACGCGGATGACGACGACATCGTGGCGTATGGTCCCGATGTGAATTGGGAGGGGCAAGTGTCTCCTCCATCTGTGACTGGCATCTTCGGCCTAACGTTCGAGCAGCTGCTGCAGTCCGAGTGGGTCGTGGACGACACGTTGACCTTGAAGTTTGTGCTGGAAGTGCGACCTGAGGGGTGTTATGAGTCGGAGCTCTTCAGCCAGGCGGTCGAGGTTCCCGAAGCTACCATGAGTCGCGACACGCAAGCTCTTTTGGAGAAAGGCTCGTGCAGCGACGTGCGGTTCATTGTGCAGGGTGAAGATGTCCACGCGCACTCGCAAGTCCTCTGTGCGAGGTCCGAAGTGTTGGAGAAGCAGCTGACGGGCGGCATGCAGGAATCGGCGTCCAAGGTGATCGTGGTCGAGGACTGCGATGTGGCCACCTTCAAAGCCTTCCTGCAGTTCCTCTACACCGACCGCCTGCCCACCATCGATGAGCTTGCGGCACAGGCTCCAAGCGCAGGGCAGAGGGATGATGGAAACGTGCAGCTGCTGCAGATGCAGGCCTTGCTCGCTGTGAGCCACAAGTACCAGGCGACCAGGTTGCAGCGGTGGTGCGAAGCGCAGCTTTGCGAACGGCTCAGCACAGCCGAGGTCTGCGGAATACTTGGGCAGGCACACCTCCTCCAGGCCAGGCAGCTGGAGAAGGCCTGTCTCGCCTACCTCAAGTGCCACCTGACAGAGGTGCTCAAGCTCAACGCGTATGCGGAGATGGTCGCGAAGTGGCCCGAGATCGGCTTGAAGGTGAACCTCTTCTCTGCGGGCGTGCCGGAGGCGGCGGCGGCCGCCGTCGTGGACGTAGGGAGCGCAGCGGGGACATGCCCGAAGCGCAGGCGGCTGCAGTCATGACGTGAGCAGCGGCACAACCTGGGGCATGACCTGCGACTGGATCGGGACCATCACCGCCCCTAAGCCCTAAGCCCTATAAACACTACAAACTCTTAGAACCTCATTTTTCAAGCCTGTAACCTCCATCGTACCAAACTGCCTTGCAGGAGCCCCTCATGTGCTTGCGCAGAAAAAATGCATGAGATGCTGGATGTTGAAAGGGCCTGGGGGTGAGGGTTTCGGGTTTAGGGAAGGGAAAGCTCGATGCTGCGGGAGAGGCCAGTGCCACCTGAGCCCTAAACCTTCAACTCTCTGAGCCCTTCAACTCACCAAACTCTCCTAAGCCCTAAACCCTGGTTTAGGGTTTAGGGTTTAGGGTTTAGGGAACCCTAAACCCTGAGCCCCCACGAGACTGTGGTTTCGGAAGCATGCAAAAGGGCTCGAGGAAGCACATCTCCGCGGCAGCTTGCGCGGAAGAGATATGTTGCACATATTCTGCCTATCTGTTCTGCAGCAACACGGGCTGCTCTAGCAACCACACGTACTATGACACTATCAGACTCCGATGAGTATTTGTGCTTGGTCCTCACCCCCATGTCGGCTCGACCCCTAAACCCCCAAGATCCGGAACTCCAAGCCCCTAAACGCAGGAATGGCCCAAAACCCCTAAGTCCGCTTTTCATGTACCAAGAAACCCTAAACGCGAACCTTCAAAACCCTAAACCCTAAACCCTAAACCCTAAACCCTAAACTTCACTGGGGGGCTCAGGCACGCGCGATCGAGGAGCAGGGCCGAAGAGGAGTCGGATCGGCTGCAGGCCCAGCGCTCCTAGAAGCCCCCCTTAGCGCCTTTTTGGGGGGTTCAGGGTTTAGGGTTTAGGGTTTAGGGTTTAGGGTTTAGCCTTCAGGGGTTAAGGTCTTCAGGGCTGGGGCCTTTCGAGTTTGGGGTTTATAGGTTCTAGCCCGAAGCCCGCCTGAGAAACTGTTAGGGTTGGGGATGGCTTATGAGGACGACGGTTTAAGGTTTAGGGAATAGGGATTAGGGCCAGGCAAGTTTTGCCAAGCACATGCAGCAATGGTGAGTCTAGAGGGCAAGGTTCAAGGGTTTAGGGCTTAGGGTTTACGGACCTTATCGTTAGAAATCGTTTCTCCCCTTGAGCCCGAACCCTCAGACCCTCAAACCCCAAACCCAAAGCCTTTAAACTCTTGAACAATGGATTCCCTATGATTCCTCAAAGCCCTATAAACCCTTAAAAAAGTGCTCTTCCAACGCCGCCCCTGGCCGAAACTCTGACCCTCCCCCCGCCCCCTTGAAAGCCCCAGCAGCCTCCAAAAGCTTCCAAAGATTGTCCCGGTGACCCTTTCACTGGAGTCACTGGATTTCCAACAACATTGCCACACCGAATTCTGGAGCCTGAAAACGTTTCGATGAGGAAGGCCCTTCGGCCTAGAAAGCCCCCAGCGCAAACCCTAAGGCTTGATTCCCTGATCATGTGGTTGCACATTGATTTTGGAGCCTGAAATCTTCACTCAGGAAACCCAGCGTGCCCCAGCCCACAGCCTCCAACTTGATTTCTAAATCATGTGGGTTTAGGGTTTAGGGTTTCGGGTTTCGGGTTTAGGGCTTAGGGTTTAGGGTCCCGCCTGCGATTCTGGACCCAACAGAGACCGAAATTTAGAAATTGTCGGCTTCTTGGTTCTGGGTTCGGGTGGCTCCGGTTTGCGAACGCGTTGCGTGGTTGGTGGCCTGGGCATGCCTTCACACTATTGCGTTCAGCTGACCCATGCTACACGCTAAAGCCTGCACCCTAACCCTAAACCCTAAACCCTAAACCTTAAACTTCCTAAACCCAATACCCTAAACCCGAAACCTTAAACCCTATACTTGCTAAACCCCAAACCCTAAACCCTATACTTGCTAAACCCTAAACCCGAAACCCCAGCAGGCTTGGAAGCAAACGTCATACTGGTGCTGCACGCTGGCGAACAACCAGCACGACCTCTCAGCTTTGCGCGCGGCTTGGGCTGAGAGGCTCCTGGCACTTAAGGGTTTTTAGGGTTTTAGGGTTTAAAGGTTTAAGGCTTTAGGGGTTTGGTGTTTAGGGTTTAAGGGTTTAGTGTTTAGGGTTGAAGGGCTTATAGGGTTTAGGGTGTAAGGCCTTGGGGTTTAGGGTTTAAAGGGTTTGGGGCTTTGAGGGTTAAGGGTTGTGGGCGTAAGGGTTGGAGTGTTTAGGGGCTTAACAGGGTTCAAGAGTGCAAGGGTTTCGGGGACATTCCTTCAAGCCTGGGACCCTCAACCCTAGAACCCTAAACCCTAAACGACTTCCCTAGAGCCCAAAACTCTATGCCGTGAGCTTGAAGCACTTCCGCGCGATGATGGGAGTCTGGGGGGGAGGGGGGGGGGGGGTTTAGGGTTAAGGGTGTAGGATCTAGGGTTAGGGTTTAGGGTGTAGGGCTTAAGCGATCTTATACACTATGATAAGAAAAACTCTGTGTACATCAGGCAAACCACCAAGACTGCGGCAGTCTGCCCCCCAACGATGTCAGCACGTCACGGCTTTGGGCTGAGATGCAGGGTTCAGCAGAATGGAAACCTTAACCCATAAACCCTAAAACCCTAAAACCCCAAACCCTAAAACCCTAAACCCTAAACCCCAAACCCTAAACCCTAGACCCTAAACCCTAAACCCTAAACCCTAAACCCTAAACCCTAAACCCTAAACCCTAAACCCTAAGCCCTAAACCCTAAACCCTAAACCCTAAACCCTAAACCCTAAACCCTAACACAAACCCTGAGCTGAGACCGCTTGAAGGATAGGACCATCCTGGAGACTTGCCCATGTCCGGGGGGGGGTCTTGGGTGTCTCTTTAGGGCTTTGGGGTTTTGGGCTCCAGGAAATCTTCGGATGTTTTAGGGTTTAGGGTTTAGGGTTTAGGGGTTCAGGGTTTGGGGTTAGGATGTTTCAGGATGTTTTTTAGATGTTGTACGGTTGGGGGGTTATGGAATCAGTTCGTAAAGATGAGGAAGCTGACCTGATGAAGACGCCATTCGCCCGAGTGCTGCTGCGTCCTGCCTTCAAGGGGGTCGGGGGCCGGGGTTTGTTGTGCTGGCAGTTGAGATTCAGGATGAGACCCAGGAGCCGGAAGATTTGCCAACATTACGCCAAGATACGCCCTATACTCAATCCTAAGCCCGAAACCCGAAACCCCAAACTCTACGAGCAACCCTAAACCCTAACCCTCAACCCTAACCCCTAAACCCTAAGCCCTAACGAAACCCAGAGCTTTTAAAGTCTGATTCGAAGCTCCACTTCCAACTCCACGGCCCTCAACCCAAGACTCCTAGAACTGCTTTGGCCTCCCGACCCTGTTTCGGGTTTAGGGTTTGGGGGCGGGGTTTGGGGTTTAGGGTTTGGGGTTTTAGGGTTTGGGGTTTTAGGGTTTGGGGTTTGGGGCTTGGGGTTTAGGGCGCACAATCGGATGGCAAGGCGCATCTTGAACGCATCCAAGGTTCAGGTGTCAGCCTTAAGCCCAAGAACCACCGAAACCCGAACACCCAAAGGCCTTGACCCCCAAACCCCCCTACTAGGCAGGCCCTTGGGACATAATAGTGTTTGCCCTTATTAGGGGTTACGAGGATCATGTTTAGGAGTATGTTCAGATGGTTTTAAGGGCCATCCCTGGGCCTGGCCTAGAAGTTTAGGGTTTAGGGTTTAGGGTTTAGGGTTTAGGGTTTAGGGTTTAGGGTTTAGGGTTTAGGGTTTAGGGTTTAGGGCCCCTAGAAACCTAAACCCTCAAACCTGAAACCCCAAAACAGTGTTCGCCTTCAACCCCCGCTCGAACCCGAAACCCCTAAACCCCTAGAACCCTAAACCCTAAACGCCTAGAACCCTAAACCCTCAAACCTTTAAAATCCTAAACCCCAAAAAACCCCTAAACCCTAAAACCCTAAAACCCCTAAAACCCCGAACCCTGAAACCATAAAAAGTTCGCCCTCAACCCCCTGAGCTTCCCTAAACCCTAAACCCTAAACCCTAAATTCCACGGCGCCTGCGCGCCTCCGATCCGAGGAGCCCGAGCTGCTTTGGCACCGCCCTCCTCTGCGACTCAGCTCCTCGTCTTTTGGGGGGTTTAGGGTTTAGGGTTTAGGGTTTAGGGTTTAGGGTTTAGGGTTTAGGGTTTAGGGTTTAGGGTTTAGGGTTTAGGGTGTAATTCGGCTTTAGGGTTTAGGGTCTAGGGTCTAGGGTTTAAGGTAGCCCCACAAGTCCTTTGCAGGGTTTCGGGTTTTGGGTTTAGGGCTACTTAAGACCCTAAGCCCTCCGCCCTAGAAGCCCAAGAATCCCAAGAACCCTAGGCCTTGACCCCAAACCCTAAACCCCAAACCCTAAACCCTAAACCCTAAACCCTAAACCCTAAACCCTAAACCCTAAACCCTAAACCCTAAACCCTCTAACAGAGTTCTAGATCCGAACCTCTTTGTGCTTTGGCGATTGAGTTCTTTAGGATGGCGTTGGTCTGAAGGGCGCTGCTGGGTTTACGGTTTAGGGCTTAGGGCGCTCAACTTGTGGGCTTAAGGGATTGGAGGGCTCTTAGGGCTTAGGGCTTAGGGACCCTAAACCCTAAACCCTAAACCCTAAACCCTAAACCCTAAACCCTAAACCCTAAGCCCTCAACAACTCGGGGGATCTGTTCCGGCTTGGGTGTAGAGGGGGAAGATCGGTGGCCAGGGGTTGGGCTTCGGGTGTGGCGTTGGGGCTGAAGAGGCCATGCCAGCAGATCAGACAAAAGCTGACAGTCAGGTTCGTTAAGCCCAAGCCCTACATGCATAGGGTTGTGTGTGTTTTTCGTTTTGTCGGGTTATTTGGGCTCAAGCCTTAAACCCTCAACACCCTCGAAGCCTAAGAAGCCTTAGCTTAAGTCAAAAATTGCTTTTCGGGTTGAGGGTTCCGGGCTCTTAGCGTTTTGGGTTTTTAGGCTTATTAAGGTTTCCCAGGGTTATTAGGGTTATTGGGGTTTATTTA